AATGTTAAGTCTTAGAAGTGCCAATTGCTAAGAAATGTCAGTTCCAACACAAACAGTGGTTTTGCTAAAGCACTTCAGATATGGCTGAAATTATTGTCTCCCTGGTACAGCTGGGTGAGCTCTGGCACTGCTTGGGAAGGACCTGTGGCTGCTGTTTGTGGAGTTTTATTTGAGTTACAGGTTTTTGAAAGGGGAATCGCTTTGTGTCAGGATCTTTTAATAAACGTGTAAGGGGGCTCTTTGTTCAGAGAAGGCTTTTGTAGACTGTGAGAGGTGCTTCCACGCATTTCCAAGGGGAAAAGGGGTTCTTCTGCTTGAATCCCACTTACTGTTCTCATGTCAGAGCAGGGACCTTGGCAGAGAACTGCTGCTCATTCTCTCCACTACAGCTGCCCCTCACCCACAGGGGCATTTTCTGTTCCATATGCCCTCCCCTCCTCCTACATGTTCAGTGTCTGCCTTTGATAGATGGGTTAATCACCACTGAAAAGTTGTGTATAAAGTCATGAACAGTGACTTTGTCTGCTTTCTTGGGTTCTAAGCTAAAGAGCCCAGAAGGAAAGCTTGTTCCAGACAGTCATTTGCCTCTCCCTGACAGGCAAATATTAGCTGAAGATATAACTAGTGAAGAGAGAGTTTTGTTTAAGTTATCCTTGAAGAAGGACTTCTTGAGAATGTGGAGGTAGGGTGAGTGTGAGTGGGGAGAGGGAATAGACAAATGAAATGTCCATTTTGAAATTAAAATTAATTATTACATTTTGAAAGACAGACAGTCCTAGAATAGACTGGAATATTTTCTAGTCTACTCTTAGGGTTTTAATTAAGGATTAAGGGGAAAAAGAGCAAAGCAAAATAAGCATAATTTCAGTACATACCAGCAAAACCAAGTATTAAAACTACTACCATAGTGAGGTACAGAAACTGCCAAAGAAGGTGGGTTTCTGTGTGAAAGTAGGTTAACTCTGTCTGTAGTTCTGCTTTTAGAACTTGAACTGAGAAATTCTTTGTTTCTCCTCCTTTATCCTTATGTGCTCTAAGGATGATATGGTCCATACCACAGCGGGCTATGCTCCACCAGTCAGTACAGTCTGCCAAAATAGCCTGTAGTACCTTCAGGCCAAGGGCATGCTGGGGGCTGGAGAGTGAAGATTGACACATCACACTAAAAGAAAACTTTTTTCTTCTGTGCCTTTCCATGTATATGTGAACATAAAGCCCAAAGGGAAGCACTGGTGTCAAAACTTGTCACACCAGTTCTGACCTGTACAGTCCTGCACCATCTGTTTCCTTTTCCTGGGAGCTGTGGTCCTGCCATACTTGACTATCACTAACATCAGTCACTCTTTTATTCTCAAATGTGGACACTAATCATTCTTTAGGAAAGCAAATGATAGCTTGGCATAATCTGCCAGAGACAAGAAACCTGAAGTTTCTTTCAGCAGCAGTTGTTTTAGCAGTCTTATAACACAAGGAACCTTTGCCATGAGTTTCAGTTTTTTGTTGGGTGGGTTTTTTTCCCCTGTTGGTTCTGGAACAGATCCTAAGCCCCAAATTGCTTCCAGGTGTTGCAGGATATTCACTGCAGAGTACAGTATTATGAGTCCAGAGGATGCTGAGTATGTCCTTACAGGTACATAGCATGGTATTCTCTGTCCTGGGCTCTGTTGTTTATGGGTCCTAGTATACCCAGTAATAAATAGACAATCCTGCTTTCACTCTGTATTATTCTTTAGCACTTCTCAAAGGGCATATTCCTTTGCTGCAGCATTAACTGGTATAACACTGAAATGGATTTCAGAGACATGTACACCATTATCAGTGTAGCTAATTCTGTCTTTATCTGAGCTATCTGCTCGACTTGTATTCTCTGCTGCACATCAGAAGCCAGCACCCCCTCTCCTCTGTTTATGCAGTTGTTCTTGCAATGACAAAACATTCCGAGAAATACCTTAGTTTGCAGAATCCCAGGAAAAAATGGACTGTTCAGGATCTGTTGTAACTGATGAAGATGTTCAGATTTGCTCCTTCTCCAGCAGCTGTTGTGTCTCAAGCAGTGGATTATAAAAGGTCTGTAGCCTGATTAAATAAATAAAAATAAATTATTAAAAAAAGATACATGGTTACACATCTGCAAGTAAGAATTACTGAGTTCTGTATTGACTATGGATTATAATACTTGGGTGAAGGAAGTCAATTTGAAGTGTGGCACAAAATTTCACCGAGAGCATATGAAAGGAAGATTTTCCATGCCAGCAAAGAAAACCATGAAGGGATTTTTCCCCAGCTGGAAACCCTCATAAAACTGGAAGTCTGAACTGGTGGGATACAATTCAGTAAGTGAGGAAAAAGAAGTTTTTTGGTGTGGGACTCATTAGCTAGGAGAAGTCAGTGACTGGAGAACTGCAACTTTGGTGTTAGGTGGTTTTAGAGCTAGGAGAGAGTTATTCCGTGAGCTCAAAAACAATTGTGGCAAGATTTCTCCTTTGTGGAGAGGGACAGTTGGAAAAACTGACTCCAGCGAGACCTGGCTGTTTGCCTGAAAGTGGATGGAACAGGAATGAAACAGTATATAGTCTATTCTGAGTGTGGTTTATACAGAGGGATTCATAACAGAAGCTGACAAAGCTGCAAACAGAGAAGTGGCCAAAAAGAACGTGGCTGCTGAAGAGAAGTTGCTGACTGCTCTCTTGGAACCACGAAACCTCCAACATACTATGTAACATTTGGATATTTGGATTTTGATCCAACTGATTATGTAGCAACGGAAAAGCAAAAAAAAAAAGGCAGAACACAGACAGTACTGGAATAATGAAGTTGAAAACATTATGATAATTTATAGCAGAATAGATCTGGTGATACTAATTTCTTAAAATAGCTAAAATGGCTTCTTCTGAATTATAAACATAACCTGAATGTCCAGCCACTGACTTGAAAATAATCAGGCCCTAGGCTGTGTGTGGCTTCTGTTCTGTGTTCTGGGTAATCAAACTGCTGGAAAACATCTAAGGTGGCCAAAATGGGTAATTTAGACAAGCCATTGCTGCTCGTGCAGAGCAGCCTTGACTCACACAGGGCAAGAAGCCTCCATAAAGTTTAATCTGGAAAGATCTGAAGAAAATGAAAACTTAGTGGAAACTTTCCATAAAGGTTACACAGATGACAGTTGATCTGCTCCAGCAAGTGAGATTAATATCTGCCAAAGAACAGTCAAGTGGTTACTTCAGAGAATTCAGGGATTTTTGTGTCATTTCCTTCCCTTTCCTTTCCCTTTTTCTCTTTTCCCTTTTTCCTTTTCCCTTCCTTCCCTTTCTTTTGACTAATAGCAAAAAGATAACATCAACCTTATGATGGATGGTACCAAGCACTGATGGAGTACAGGTGACTCAGAACGGTGCTATAATTTATGTTTCTATTGACTAGATTGTTTCCAGTCTGAAAAAACAGGGTTAATCACACGATTTTGAGGAGGTAACCTTTAGATGGGAAGAGAAAACTGGCCCTCCCTGTGAACCAGACATGAGGGGTACACAGACATGTACACTTTACTCTCTGTATTTCCTCACTGCCATCCCTGCAGAGCTGTGTTCTGGGAAGAATTCCTAACCAGTTTGTGCATTCATCCCATGCAGCAGGAGCAAAAGGGGAGCTGTCTCTTCCACAATGCTGGTAGGACCTCTGGGTGAGGAAACTTCAGCCTGAGTTTGCGATTCAGATTCAGACTCAGGTGTCCCTCTCCCGTGAACACTTTTGTTCAGGCCATGAAATGATCCCAGGTTTGAAAAGCCAGATGTGCTCAGGCACCTTTGCTGGCTTGAGGCCTATCCTGGAGTCCAGGCTGGGTAGCAAAGGCTGATGCACTAGGGAATGTGGGGCTGTTTTTCCCTAGGACGTTTGGGGCTCTTTAGTACTCGTCAATCTTATGTTACTAAATGTAAATTACCTCTGCTGAGAGCAGGGAGATGCCAGCTGAGAATCTGCTCCTGCATATTTTGCAATATTCGAATCAAATTAAAGGAAGGATTTAAAATTTACACATGTGGGTATTTAGACGTTTGCAGCAATGAGGTTGTAGGTGATGGGCTATGGTGACAGGTACATGAGAGACATGCCACCAGCCAAGAAAAGGAAATGCAGTGGTGTGTTACACCCATGCCTCCCAGAAGTACTGGCTGTGCAGTAGTGCTGCTGCTACCATGAAGCCCCAGGGATGCTGAACGTTACCAGTCCTGCAGAAGGAAGAACTGCATTTTTCAGCATAGAAATAACTGCTGACAAAAATACTCAGGCACTGCGAAGATTGCCTGAGAAGAATTCCTGTGCCCCTTGAAAGGGGAGCAGAGGAACAGTTAAAAGCAAAAGGAAACACATTCCCCTTCTCCCTTAGGGAGGTCCTTGCTGGTTTAGTGAAGCCAAGCATGCTGGGGAGTTTCTGATGCCAGCACTGATATTGCTGGGGAAGAGGAGGGAGGACAGCTTAAAGCTACCTGGCCTGAGATCAAGAAAGCTGGTGCAGAAGGGTCTCCCACAGAGCATAAAGATACTCCTGGCTGCTGTGGCTGCAGTAGTGTAGCCTCTTTCCTTCAGTCTTGTCCCCCATCTGAAAAAAACAACCAACAAGTAATAAATCACAACTGTACTCAAATACAACAGATTTAATACAAGTGACTTCAATGCCCCCCCATCAAAAAAAAAAAACAAAAAACAAACACCAAAAGCACAAAAAGCCTGCAGAACTAGATAATTTCTTCTCTTGAGGTAGCTGGTATTAATACATATACAAGAAGTGAAGCCACCTAACAATTTGAGGCCGGAGTATTTAGATAAGCCAGGGAGATAACATTGGTCTGTTACAGAGCTGTGGCTGTATGAAGAATTGAAGCAAGCTTTTTTTCTTGGTTCCCAAGTAAGAAATACAATCAATCAAGAGCTTCTGGTATTTCAAGAAGAGATACAGATTTCAGTCACACAGTGGCAAATTACACTTTTATCCTTTTCTTCAGGAGTGTATCATCGATGAAGACTGTGAAACAGGGAAATATTGCCAGTTCTCCACCTTTGAATACAAATGTCAGCTCTGCAAAACCCAGCATACAGTAAGTCCTGAATGAGACGTGATTTTTTGTGATCTGTAGAAACTCAATGTTATTGTTGCTAATGTCAACAAGCCGAAACTGGTAGAAAAGAGGCGGCAAAGCTTTCTGCATGAGGGTAAAAAAACCGGGTGTGTAGAGTTTTTTGGGTTGTGTGGGGTTTTTCTTCCTGTTAACAAAACTCGGTTTCAAGGTTTCTGTTCTCGTGTGCTCCAAAATCTGCCTTGAGCTCCTCCTGACTCAAGCTTGCCTTGTTGGGTGGCCTGAGGACAGCGCAAGCTAACACATTGTAGGTTGCCAGTGGAATGGGCAAAGAGGAAATACTGTGGCAGCTCCCAAGGCTCAGCTGACAGTTGGTCGTTTCCAGCTCTGGATTCACAAAGGGAATTGCAGCAGCCTGCCCTCTTCCCTTCACTGACAAATTGTACAATGCTGTAGTGCAGTGGGGGCTGTACAGGATCCTCTGCTCTTATTTGAATCTGTGAACCTCAGGAAGCAGTCAGTTCCTGTCTTTTGAGCTAGAAGATCAATGTTCTTAATAGTAGCTATGGTTAGGTTATCTTCTGTAAGGGACAGATGCCTGAGAAGTTCAGGCTTTTTCTGTGATCAAAATCCAGTTTAGAAGCAGCCTGTCAAAAAAGCCCTTTTATTTGACTGTCCCTTTTCAACTAAGTTCTGCTGATGGCCTCTTGCAAAACAAATTCACTCCTCAAAGCATTTGCAGACAGTCCAGTGTACAAGCAACTAAATGCTGCTGTAAATTCATGTAAACTGAATAGGATTGTTATAACCTAAAAGCACTAGGCTGTTCCTGAAATGATTTAAATAGTTATCTTGATAACTTCAGGGAGCTCTATTGACTTCAGTGTACTGAATGCTTGCTTAAAATCCTGATCATGTCCTATATGTGTCATTGAGAAAGCTTATTGTTCGTAGTTTAGAAAAGGTTAAACTGATATTTTTTCATGTTAACATGGAATAATTCAAAATAAAGATCGGGCTGCCCCTCACCTATGCCCCCCTATAATCCCACCTTTTCTTCTCAGTCCTCAGCAGAACACTTGTAGGATAAAGAAAATAAAAATGGGGTGTTAGCGACACTTCTGTTGTAAAGTGAGCTCAGACTGAAGGAGGTGGGATCAATTCCCTGACCTTGAATCCTTGCAATTGCAAAGCATTTTTCTCCCCAGTTAGCAGGTCTTAATAGTACCAGTGCAGTCCAACTCCTTGCCCTGTGTTAAGCACTTCCTGTGGGATTCACTGGAAAAGAAATTCAGATTTTGTATGGCTGCCCAGACAGGGCTTAACACAGACAGGAAAAAGCTGTTACAGCACTGACCTGGTAGGAATCTCTAAGATGTTAATCAAACTACCTAAAAAAAGGAGCAATGTGACACACCCTTTTTATTAGGTTGATTTATTAGGTGTGTGTAGTTGAAACACCAGGGCAGTTGTCACACAAAGCTATCTTTAGCTAGAGGTTTGCATTTCTGCTTTTCAAAGAGATTTTTTTTTCAGAGATTTTTTTCAAAGATTCTTGGTTACCAATGAGATCTGGTTCTTATTACAACTGCAAATGGATTTTAGTAAGATTTTTTTGCTGTGCTCTTTGAAAACAATCCTTCTGAACAAATTGTAAATTCCTGACTGTATTTAACAATGGAAAAAAAAAATCAGTAATGTTTTCCATCGATAATATTTCATTTCTTAATTTTTATTTCCCTTGATTGCAGAAGGAAAGGCTCCAGGGAGAACTTAGAGCAGTCTTCCAGTACCTAAAGGAGAATACCAGTACCTACAGGAGAGCTGGAGAGGGACTTTTTACAAGGGCATGTAGTGAGAGAACAAAGGGGAATGTCTTCCCACTGACAGAAGGCAGGTTTGAATTAGATATTAGGAAGAAATTCTTTACTGTGAGGGTGGTGAGGCACTGGAACAGGTTGCCCAGAGAAGTTGTGGATGCCCCATCCTTGGGAGTGTTCAAGGCCAGGTTGGATGGAGCTGTGAGCAACCTGGTCTAGGGAAAGGTGTCCCTGCCCACGATGTGGGGTTTGGAACCGGATGACCTTTAAGGCCCTGTCCAACCTACACTGTGGGATATCTGGCTGCTGATCAGTGTTCCTGTGAATGCTAAAATAAGAATTCATGTCTTGTAGTATTGGAAGTATATTAGTGTAGAAGGGGTGCTGTTACTGTAGCGTGGAGGTTCCTGTCTAGCAAAAAGTTCTATGTACACTTAAACTGAGACCCCTAAGCATTTCTGTTTAAACAGTGGGAATATGACACGCATATATTACGAGCACATACATGCAGTTGCCTTCAGGACCAGGGTTAATTCTATGTTTAGCTGTCTGTGTTACAAGCAATTAGTGCTAAAGTGCCAATTTTCTCACGTGCCTTCTCCATTTGCAAGCCCTGCTCCCGGGACGTTGAATGCTGCGGAGACCAGCTCTGCGTTTGGGGCCAGTGCAGGAAATCCACTTCAAAAGGAGAGAACGGCACCATTTGTGAGAACCAACACGACTGCAACCCTGGAATGTGCTGTGCTTTTCAGAAAGGTACAGAGGGGCTTATCCTATTCATTGCATCATACTGTATAATATATAATATATCCCCTCTTTTGCCAGGGGAAGTCGCTAAATCTCTACAGAATTGATAGGTCATTCTCCCTTTATATAACTTCGCCTATAACTTCATTATAAAACTTTGATAGAATTAGGAGTGAGAAACAGCCTGGGAGGGGTGCACAATGGTGAAAGAAAAGCCTGTTGCATGCTAGAGATGAGACAAGCATGAGAAGCACAAAAATTTATGTTTCCAGAGGGGAATCTTACACATTTAAAAGTAGCAGAACTCTGTTGTCAAATTTTCACCCAATAGAGCAAAAATAAGAGAATTAAAAATATACAGAAGAAATGATGAGATTACTGAAAGTGGCTTCTCTTTCCTATCAGCAAGCAGACTATCAGAATCAGACTGCAGATACATTTCATACTCTGAGTTTTATGTGTGCCTTCCAGGGCACCACGCTGTGCAATACTGACCAGACAGCCAAGATACACAGAGGAATGATGTCCCAGATTATGTTGTCGCTCCACATGGGAATGTGAAACTTGATTTATGGAAGGGAGGACAGGAGGAGAAGGTCTCAGGCCTGAAATGAATCCCAAATCCTGTCTGGTTAGGGTCCAATTTCTTTTACTGTTTTATACCCACTAGTTTCTCACTGCATTTTTCATAATTCACCTCAATTTTGTAGTGACAGGACACAGTTCCAACCATCTCCCTACACCAGGTAGATACTTCTCTAGCTTTCTTCCTGGTTCTTGCTAGGAGCCAGACGTGACCTTGTACCTTCACCAATGGTTGGGGTGCCTGTCCTGCTGTCAGCTTGCTGGTGGATCAGGCTGCCAGGGCATTTCAGGAAAACCAAAGACATGCTCAGCTTTCCCATGTTGATTTTGACTATTACATAGTGGACCTTCAATTTGGTTTCAACAAGTTTGGTTTCAACAAGTTTTGGTTGGAGCAGTTTTTCCTCTCTTCGTCAGGTTCTGGCTAAAGCATTTACAGGTTTTGCCAAGCTCTCTCAGAGGTTTCTTTGTACTCTGATTCTGAAATAAGACAGGAAGAGCATTTTTAATACATGCCTATTACTTTCACCATGCAGGACTCTGAATCTGCTTATGCTGCAGAGATGAGTAAATTAGTAGTGTGCATCCCATTGGTGTTAGTAACACCAGGCTGCTCTTTAGATCTTGACTAGAAATTTAGTACAAACCTGTAACTCAGGAAGGAACAACAGATATAGTTACAGAGAAAAAAAATATATTTTAAATATATATATGCATATATAAATCAATAGATAAGAATATTGATAAAATGGATAGAATACACTTATTAGAACTTGAAATAGAGCTATTGATAAATAGCAATGAATTTTTATTCTCTATAGTTGTGTGCTTTAGCAGGGTTTTTCAGGTTAGGCCTGCCTACTTCAAAGCCTTTCTTCATCACCAGAGTATTGCAAAAGGTTGTCCTAATAAAGATGTGTATTTTTTTACATAAAACTGTAGTAAACTATGAGGTATTCACTTGTTAATATAGAATCTGTTTTGAAATTGGGAACTGATAGGTCATATACATTGAAGCATATATGTGTATACACACACATACATGTGTATTTTGACCAAGTCTGCTTTAAAAATCTAAATTTTGAATTCCTCTCATATTTTATTCTGCCATATGAGGAGAATGAAGACAAGAGGAGGAAGGGAGGTTGGATAGGAACATCTGGAAATCTGAATTCCAGACTGAGACTATAAGTTACTAGCAGCAGGAAACCCAGAGGATGTAGCCTTCTAAAATAATTTCTTACACAACTTGAAATTCATCCCTGTGCAGAAACAAGGGTGCCAAGCCCCAAATGCCATCAGACAGCTTTGTGTGTTTCAGTATTACTGTAATAAATTAAACGTCTGAGTTGTAGTTCTTACAACCTCATTATTTAGTCTCTGAACAATTGCTCTGTATATTTGTAACCTCTGCAAAGAAACAGGAAAACTAACAGAGTTCTAAAATACAGAGGTATTTCTCTATTCAGATTTAAACCATTGCAAAGGATTCACTGTAATTTTTTCTTGGGTTTATAATAACCTTTTGAATCTCCAAGGGATGGAGTTGTGCAGTCCTGCTGTCTTGACACTCACTCTCTTTGGGAAGAGCAGGAGTTGATCTTGCTCATTAAGCATAAACTTCAAATGTCTTACTCCCACCTAGTGGAAAAAACATTAAGTTATGGCTCCTTTATTTGTAAGGGGACTTTAAGAGAGGTCAAATCTGTCTTTTTCTATAATGCATACACACTTCAGAAACGAGGTCATCACAGGTTAGCAGACAGCCACGGACTTCTCATAAAATGACTTTCCTTTGGCACACAGAGCTGCTGTTCCCTGTGTGCACACCCTTACCTGAGGAAGGTGAACCCTGCCATGATCCTTCCAACAGACTTCTCAACCTCATCACCTGGGACCTGGAACCCGATGGAGTGCTCGAGCAGTGCCCATGTGCAAGTGGCTTGATCTGCCAGCCTCAGAGGTAAAGATCAAAACCGGGCAGACAACCTGCTTAAAAATTTGGAGGGGTCTGTTTCTGTGGTAAACAGCTACAGAACTTGCAGAGTCTGCCTCACTAGGAAATGTTTTGACAACTTTTCTCATCAGTAGCATTGAAACTTTCTGCTTTGTCCCACACAGATGTGCCTAATTGAGTTTGGCAACACATTAATCCCATGTGAATTAAGTCTGTGAGTTAATCAGGCTGTTACTGCTTTTTAATCAGTCAGTACTAGCAGCTGTTGAGATGTATCATTTCAATTTAATCCTCTGCATACAGTTCTTTGTCCACCATCTTTCTCTGTTAGGCTGGGCTTCTGTTAGATGTTTGGCTTGCTTTCATATGTAAGACACATGAAAGATATTGTAAATACATGCAGTATTTCCTGCACTATTGATCAGCTTTACAGATGGGCACATGTATTGAAGAAAAAAAATTAATCTGTCTTTGTTTGCACATTCCCCTCGTTTCAAACTAACCCAGGGTGCCAGTTTCTCTACCACTAACTCATGATCTGCTCTCAGACTTGAAACACTTCAAACTATGCAGACTTCTTCACTACCATTGAGTTTCACCAAATAGGAAGCAGGCTGTTTTCTGTTTGAAGTTAAAACTTGGCATATATAATGCCTTTAATCATTCTCTAAAAGGACAGTTATTTGCATAATCAGCAGTTTCACTGGGGGAAGTGAGATCATTTCAGTTTTGCATTAAAAGCATTTTTAAAAAACTTAAATGTTTTCTATGAAATTCTCCAAGTTTTCTCCTACCCTACCAGCATCATATTAACTTCCAACAAGACAGCATAGCTGGGATAGAGATGTATATTAATACTTCTCTCCTGTGTGTCCAACTCTTTCTACATTTTTTCATGCATGAAAAGGAATCGGGTAACATTTTGTTTCATAAATGTCATCTGAGGAAACAAGCAGAGTTGATCCCATCCTTTCTGCACCAAAATTTTAGTTAATGTGCCATTAACCTCAGGGAAGGTCTGTCAGCAAATGTCATGTCTAGTTAGAAGGAAGACATTTCAGATGAGGATATATAAACACAGAAATTACTTAGGGTGTGAATATAACTGAACTGTCCAGCTATAGTCAAAAGAACTTTTTATCTGAATTTTAAGATTCTGACAACATTTTTTTAATAAAGAAACAGTCCACCTCTGCTTGAAATGGCCCTTAGCTAAATATTACAAGCAACTGATAAACACTGAAACTATTAGATTATACCAAAGAGAACACAGGGATAGTCTGTGCACAAATGGAAGTCTTGGAACTCCTAGAGAGCAAAAGAATTCAAAATATACAGCAAACAAGCTTCAGGAACATCTTTAGCTCATTTATGCTGTTTCCAGTGGAAGAGGGTACAGCTTTCAGCATTTGCTGAGGGGTACCTGGCACAAGTAGTGCTCACCTGACAGGGACATGTAGCCCAGTTGCATGCCCTGCACTGCAGGGAAATAGCAGAGGAACCATGATCAAGTTCTGTTCCCCTGACTCCTGAACACAACTATAAATCATTCCTTTCTCTTTCATAGTGGCTGCAAAAAATGTGGGATGTTTATTTGCAGGCAACTGAAGCCACTTTTCAAGGTGGCTTCACAAAACAGGATTGGCAATTGTAGTGTTTCCACTGCACTGTGAGGAACCAAATACATAAAGCTCAGAGTTTTCCTCTTAAGCTGGATAACCGTGTTTATTAACTCTGTGTTATGACATGAACAGCAAGGTCTAGTCACCCTCAGTGCCTGCAGAAGGGCCAGGCTGTGCTGAGGGCCACTGCCATCTTGTGTCCCAGGATCAAACATTCTTGTGTTGTTAGGCTCTGTTCTAGCTCTGAAGGTGGAAACTCTCCAGCTGTCAAGCAGTAAAAACCCCAGATCTTTATGAAATCATCTAGGATAGATCTATTATGCATTTAACATAAAATGCTGTTCTGTGTGACCAGATGTGTCTCTCTTTTTCCAACAGCCACAGCCCTACATCTGTGTGTGAACCGTCTGCCAATGAAACCCGGAATAACGAAAAAGAAGATCCCTTAGTCATGGATGAGATGCCATTTCTCAGCTTAATCCCCAGAGATATTCTTTCTGATTATGAAGAGAGCAGTGTCATTCAGGAAGTGCGTAGGGAATTAGAAAGTCTGGAGGAGCAAGCAGGTTTGAAGCCTGAGCCTGACTCAGCTCAGGACCTGGTTTTGGGAGATGAAATTTAAAGTCCAAGCACCAGGCAGTTTAGTTAGTCATTTCTAGCAATTTTTTGTCTAGTGTCTTGCTTATATAAACCCTAAACACACACTGCTGGATAGAAGTGCAATAAACAAGGTCTTCAACGAAAATACTTCTCTGTGCACCAAACCTGCATGTTCCAATTGCTGTTGAATTCATTCAATCCTTGGACCAAACCTGTCAAATGAGAAGTGTTTCTTCTGGATTAGTTTTTTCCCCGTGTACATCAGAAATAAACTTATTAGTACTTATACTCATTAAAAAATACACACGAACGTAAATAATTTTAAGTTATTAGTAACTTCAGAAGTGACTTTTGAGTATGAACCATCTACTTTGAACTGCTGTAGTCATTAATTTTAGAGAATTTTTAATTTTTTTTCCTTTGGAAAATATGGTCAGTGAAGCTGCAACATCCAGCTTGTGGGTGTCACAGTGCCACGGAGCACTCTGCACCACAGGAACATTCCTTCCTGGGGGAATGTTGTTTAAGGACCTGTTGGCTACATTCCATCATCACCTGCCCTTTGTGAGACGCAGGGGCAGTGAACATCAATTCCTGACTTCAGTTTAGCAGTAAGACAACTGAAATAGCTTCTTGCACTTAGAGACTTACACCCAGAGAATAACCTCTGAGCAATGGTTTATGCTTTTAATACACTTCATAGGCATAAATTTCTGCGTGTCACAAGATGTGCTTATTGTGACCATCTTTAACAGGTCACTGATTTTAGAAATCGATGGCAAGCCAAGAGTAAAATCCAATCCACCAAACTCCCCAGCTGTCTCATCAGTTTGCTTCAGTGGCTCTTCCACTATTAATGGTTTTCTGGGGTACAGATTTCACCATCTGTTATTCCACATGGGAAAACATGACATGAGGTTCCAGCCAAGTAACTTCATGGCGCTGCTTCCCAAACAATCCCTACTGCTTATCTCTAATTTGGAACAGCAGAACACCAACAGGAGCAGCTGCAAGACAGTGCTACCAGCCTGCACATCTTTCACCACGTCTGCTCTATGAAAGCTTCTCAATAAATTCCTTGGGTACTGGAATTAATGTTAATAATCATAATCAACACGATAATATTTCATCAGAACAGTCTGACTTTCAGTTTAAGGATTCTACAACCAATTCTCACACCAACACATACACCCAGGCACCTGCTCTCAGAGTTCACCGAATTCACCTCCTTTCTATCCCCAATAAAAATACTGTACTTTAGAGACAGCCCATCTATACAAAGAGAAGGAATTAAATCTGTTTAAGAAAAACACTAAAGAGAGCAGTCATTGTCTGTAAATACTGCTCTCTTAACGATAGTATTACTCTCCCTTCAAATTCTTGGTGCTGCAATCCTCAGATCTCATCTCTAGATTTTTGCCTCTCCAAATGTCTTTGAGAAAAATTCATGATCCATTTGATAGGTAATTTTTTTCCTCTCTTCAAAAGCTCCAAGGTTCCTTCAGCAGTCTATATAAATGGTAAAGGGCAGTTTAATGACATAGCCTGCCTAGAGGATGGTACTCCCTCTCTGCTCCCTTTGCCCCCTCTTCCACCTCACTTACGTTGGGCAAGGGGCAGCACAGGGCAAACGGAAGAGGAAGAACGAGGGAGTTCATCTGTGCAGTGCCTGGTTCTCAAGCTGCCAGATTCCTCAGGATTTTTAGGTTGCTGTGGGCCAGCATGCAAGGAAGACCTGAAGGTTCAGTTGTTGAACATTGCCTTTCCCCTCTGGAGCAGAAATTAGCTGTCAACCGTATCTGGAACTCGGAAGTTTCACTGGTGAGAAATTCAGTTCTGGAAAAGGAAACTCACAGTGGAAGAAAAAATGGGTGGGAACTTAAACAAGAGAAGCAGATAAGCTATAAACCACTTCCTGTAACACTCTGTACATGGGGGGGTGTGCACATACACACAAACACACAGCCTTACAATTCCAGCACTGCCTTGGGAAAGTCTGTATTTCCATGAAATAATTCCATATTTTTTTAAATAAAAACCACAGCATTTAATGATTAAAATAACACAACAGAATGAACAAATGTTTTATTGGCATGTTCATTGTTGTAAACAGCATCTGGCATGAAAAAGTTTACCAAAATCTTTTGATTGTTATAAATTAGGTGGTTTTTCCCAAAAACTATGGAGAATTGTTCTCTATTGATCTTTATGGACCAAAGCAAAAAACTGCTGTTCCTAGGCTTTGCAATGAAATCATGTTGACTGCATCAGTCTCTGCACCACAGCCTGAACTACTAAGTTTGTACGTTGAGGTGTTAGAGGTTGCCCCAATATTTGACTACATATAGCTATGGAATCAACTCCGGGAATAATAAACTGACTTTCAGCAGGTGGAGAAGATGCAAACTTGTCATAGTCTTAAAAACAAAATGTACAAAAAGTAGCGGAACAAAACAAAAACTTAATTAACAAGGGGAAGTACAACCCTAAAGTACCCAGCATCATCAAACATAAAATGAATACAAATTTAAATAGGCAACTATACTTCCAAATGTACACAATGAATGTTGATATGTGAAAAGAAATAGCATGGTAAATAGCTGAACTGCAGTTCTGGTGAATGGATAGGGCAAATTTTATTTACACATCGAACGCAATACACTAGAGCTGCTCATCGGCTTCTGTAACCTATTAAAACCCCCCAGTTTACCTTACAACAGCACTTCTGCAAACAAACAGCGCCTGCTGGCAGCTTTCTGCAGACACCTCTCAGACTGCCTGTTTTATGGAAGAATAGTATAAAACCTTGCACTTGCAGCACTTCCACCTCCGGCCCTTTTCTGCCGCTCTTCTAGAACCAATGTGTTAACGTTTCCTTCCGACTCTCTGATGAGGTAATGCGTGTATCAGTGAAACAAACAGAGAAAAGGATTCTTTCATGGCCTTTGCACAGCTTTTATTATTAAGCTATGAGTATCCTGTTTGAGGCTAGTTTCACTAGCTACTATGTGCACACTGTCCTCAAAAAATTTCCACTCGATTCCCTCCCCGCCCACTTTTTTTTTTTTTTTTTTTTTTTTTAGTTCTAATCTTTTATTTGCACATCCCTTTTAGCTTTACAGTACATTTGACTATAGTGCACAACATGATTCCAAGTCAAGCAGTGACCCGGCGGGGCCCTGCGCTGCCGGCGGGTCACCGCCCGCCCGGTGCTGGTGTCAGCGCTTTACACCTAATGAATGTCCTGCCGTAATGGCACTACACAGTAGTAGTGAACCTTTTTATTGGAAACAAAAAAAATTCCCCAGGGAAAATGCTATAGCAAGTATCAGTCTTGAGTCAAATCTTTATTTGGTGCTCCATCCAGATAAATTTTTAGTGCTTTTTCTTTACGGGGAGAGTAGGTTACCCGGTGTCCAGTTTTCTGGAGTCTGCTGCTTTCTTTTTTCATCAGTTCATTTCTTTGCTCATCTGTTAATTCCATTAATTCTTCAGTTTTATCCCTAAAATGTAAACATGTTAAAACTCAGATCAATACAGTAACTGTAATTAGATTTCTGCCTTTTTTTTTTTTTTCCACTTGGAGTAACTTATTAAAACCACAACTAAGCACAACAGTTCTTAGGGATTGTTTCCCTCCTCTGCAGAAACGAACAATCTGTCTAAACCTGCTTTTCCAGCAGACACATTCACCCAGGGGAAGAAACAAGCCTATACTCCTCCATCTCCCTAACTCCTATTCTTTATAGACAGCTAGGGCTCTGCTCTGTATTTGCTCTCAGTGCCAACAGCTGGAAGCAGCGTGTCAGCCAGCCCCTAAGAGAAGCTACCAGATGTTCTCCCAAATAATTTTCATCCAGACCAGCACGTTATCAACCAGCTGTTTCCCCCCCCAACTCACATGCAATTATGAAAAATACCACAGAAGCAATGAGGTTGCCCCACCTACCAAGTTTAGAAGAATGACAATATTCAAGCTCTCAGTCCTCAAATCCTGCCTCTGGGCTACTGCCACCAGCTGATCAACGTTTTTCAGCTTAATAAAATTTTTATCCTAATGGCCTTTTTTCCAAATAAGCCATATTAATTTCTCAAAGGAATAAACTCAGAAAATAAAATCCTTGCTGTCCAAAACATATAGCAAGACATTCACAAACTCCACAAGGGATATATTAAGATATTAAATACACACACACACACACACAGAAGCATAGCAACTAGTTTTGCATTCAGCAAAATATTTTCAGTGGTTTGGGAAAGAGGATTGAGTAAAAGGGTGCAGTGCTTGTTTTCTTAAACTTAATTAATAGGTTTTTAGGAAGCTGAGGAACACAAATATTTCAGCTGACTGATTTAAACCCTCTTTTCTTTATGTTCCTGTCGATTACATCATCCCTCAGATCTTACACAGTTTTTTTTGCATGGTTTATTATAATGTAATGAAATGCATACCTATAAAATATTACTGCACCATCATCACAAATGTACAGAGGCCAGACATTCAATGTAGATACTTTAGGATTCCAGTCCAAGTCTTGGTGAATCTCTAGTATGGAAATGTCACATGGAAAGGTTCCTCTACCCTGAGAAAAAACAATTACTCAGTGAATACAATAAAACTCACAATCACACGTCTGTGCCATTAGAAAGTAAAAATACACACAATCTTACTTACCTTTGCAAATTCTATGTTTTCTAAGGGTATTCCACTTATTTCACTCAGCTGTAAAGTGAAGAAAAATGGTGGGTTTAATACAATTCCAAAACAACATGACACACTGTCTACAGAAAGTCAATAATCTGCCAAATCTAGAAGTCGATTAAAGTATCTGAAAGTCCTCCAATGATCCAAAGCATCAGTATAAAACTACAGTGACAGAGTACACATTTTTAACATTTTTGAAGTTACCAGTGTTTGTCACAAGTGATGCTTGCTGTGATAGTATTTCATCACACTTCTCTTAATACTGAAGAGGAGACAAAAAAGTTCATAGAACCAATTAATTAATAACATCCACGTTCCAAGATAAAAAGAGACCAACTGCCTCATGTTAAACCCTCAGGTTCATCAGCCAGCCTTCAGTAGGAAACCAGCATAAATAAAAACTGCTGACAAAAGCCAGACAAACTCAAATGTATTAGCCCTGCACACGTCTCAGGTGCAAATTTCTCTTACTATTGGCGGCAGTAAAACAATTAAGGTCTCTTGGAGCAAATGCTGTTAAAATCGCTCCCTGCACATCAATTCCTAAGAAAACAAGCACAACCAACTCTTTCTTCAGGTACAAGTGAGAAAGAAGTCTTGAAGGAGGCATGCAAGAACCTGCAGTCATATCTTCATTTCTACCTAAAGAATACAAGAAACCTGTCCATACCTTAATCTGTGTACACGCACTAACCTCTTCTAACTTATCAATGCTCAGTGTCCACTGATACCAGCATTTCTGCTGCCCTCAACATCCAAGGTGGCCTTCTAACATCTGGGTATTGCCACACATAGATAAACATTTCACCAGGAGTGGAACTCTGATTTACTGGATTGACTAAACAGTCCCAATATGAGACACCCCTACTCTAGACTTCTGCTAGGATGGCACAGGTCTGCTTACCTGTTAGAGGGTTCCAGCCTCAAGTAAAACCAAACCACACCACAGCCATATTTCTTTCCAACCAAAACACAGTTCAGTCTACTTGATACTGGTAACACCATCCTCAAGCAACAGCTCTCAAATTCATATATGAAGAGGCTGAAAGGCTTGGTATTTTGGAATAAAGAAATGAGCTTGAAAAAACACACAGTGACAATAGCTTAGCTTTTCTTTCACATGTGTTTTTCAAGGATAAGGGACACAGGTAATATTACAGTGCTTAAACTTCAAAATGTGACTTCTTTTGGTGTACGTTCACCTGAATACTTTCACAACAGACCATTATGTGAAATTAAGAAGTAAAGCTGATAATTCAAGTGGTTTTGGTAATAGGTTGGGATAGATTACTGGTTCCCCAGGAAAAAAATTAATCACCATGCAACAAGATTTTTGTAGCTATAACATATTTGTGCTTCCCCATAGAGGACATCAATAAGGCTCTTGGTCACCACAAGAAACTTGCATCATGTTACACATTTTACCTTCTCTTTTAATTCTTCAACACTGCTGCTTTCTAGTACTACTTCCTGGAAAGAATCGAGTTTCATCTCTGATGGCCTCCATCGTCTCGACAGAACAGCAAGTTGTGACATGGATTTCATCTTTTCTACTCCTAGC